TTCCAGTTAGATTGATTTCAGGCGTTTTTGAATGATGGTTGTTCTGTACTTTAGTTGTAACTTTGATGTGGTTGTGGGAGGACGCAATACCGTTTACCTACGCCGCCATCTTGACTGGAAGTAATAGTCTGTTACTTTAATTTCCTTTTTGAGCCATGAGTCATTTAGAATATCATATTTTCCATAGCATAGTTTTTGTTAATAATTTCATATTTAATTTTATTAGGACCAGAGAATATGACTATAAGGTTTTCACATTTTGTAATTATTATTATTATTATTTTTTTATCCTCACCCGAGGACATTTTTCCATTTTTTGTTCAGATAGAGCGGGAGGGAGAGAGAGGAAGAGAGAGAGAGAGAAACATCGACGTGAAAGGGACACATCGAGTGGCTGCCACCCGCACGACCAACCAGGGCCGGGGACAAACTGCAACCGAGGTACGTGCCCTTAGCGGGAACCAATCCCGGGTCTCTCCAGACCGCAGGCCGACACTCTAACCGCTGAGCCAAACCGGCCAGGGCACATTTTGTAATTATTGAAACTTCATTGTATCCTATTAGGATTTAATTTTAATGACATTTTATAGATATTTCAAATGGATTGTTCTGCTGGGTTCAGAGCTGTATATATCTTAAATCTGGCTTGTTAATCTATATCATCTGTAATTTTATCTGTTGTCTTGATCTTTTAAATTTCTAAGAAAGATATGTTCAAATTCTATTATGATTGTTTCCTAAATTTTCCTTGTATTTCTGGTTTGTTTTGTATTATATATATTTTGATACTATGTTGTTATGACATGTCTTTGTGATTGTGTCTTTCAATAGTAGCAGTATTTATTGTTTTTGCCTTGAATTATTGTCTTTTTAATCTTGCCATGCCCTGCTATCTTTTTGTTTGCACATATGTGTTCATAACTTTGCACATCTCTTTATTTTAAACATTTAGTCATAGTGCTCTTGAAAGTGTAGCAATATGAACAAATAAATGTATATGTACAGTATTGTGGAAAGCATGATGAAAGCTGGTGTAAGCTAGCAGTTATATTCCCTGTTGGTTTTTATTTTTTGGCATGTATTCTAGTTATCCATTAATGTATTCAGCAAATTATTTATCGAGAGCTTACAGGAACTTTATAGGGGGGAGATAGGGAGAGCTACACTGGATGGTATGATCAGGGAAAGGCTTTCTCAGATAAGGTGGACATTTGAGTTGGGATCTGGTAGAGCTAACCTAGGAGAAGAGCATTCCAGAGAGAAGGAACCATAAGTCCAGAAACCCTAAGGAAAGATTGAGGTGTATTTGAGGAACAGAAAGAAAACTGTTGTGTCTGGATGTTAATGGTTAAGAGTGGAGAGGGAGGCAGGGCCCAATTCATGTAAGATCTTGTAGGTCATGTTAAAAAGAGTGATTTTATTCTAAGTGTTATGGGAGGCCATTGAAGATTTCAAGCAGGGGATGATATGATCAGATAAATATTTTTATAGCCTTTTTCTAAATTGAGGTATAGAAATATACATTTAGTAAAATACACAGATTTTAACTGTATGGTTGTATGAGTTTTCACGATTGGATATTACCCATGTAACCACACCCTTACTAAAATATAAAATATTTCTCTTACTCCAGATAGATCCTTATTCCTCTTCCCAGTCAATCTCCATCACCAGCAACTCACTACTATTCTCTTTTCATTCACCACAGATAAATTTGTCTGTTTTAGAACTTCATATAAGTGGAATCATTTTATGCACTCTTTTGTGTCTAGCTTTTTTTACTTACTGTAATGATTTTGAGATTCATTCCTGTTGTTTGGATGAGGAGTACATTGGATATACCACAGTTTGTTTACTCATTCTCCTGATTTGGTTTTGTAGATATTTTTGAAATGTCTCTGGCTGATAGAGGAGAATGGATTGTAGATTCTCTCATTCAGATATTTTATAAAGCAATGCTGGTTGTCATGTTAACAGAGGGGAAAATATTTGGTTGGAAATAAAAGCTAAAGAAACAGGGCCAAAGAATTATAAAATGATTATGAACATCTTAGAACATTTGTCTATACGGAAGCAGATCGAAAATCATTGTGCTGCTCCTCCCTATTCCCCTTTTTAAATCAAATCGGAAAAGTTGTCAAATGAGAGCACAAAATTGGACCTTATCTACTTTTACTCCTTCTGCCAAGAATTGGCCACTTCTTGGAAGATGAGTCTGCAAGACAGGGTTCTGGGACTAGGTTCTAGGGGTTCTAGGTTTTCTCTGACATGAGAACTAAAACTCTTTACTGAGAATTTCCAGTGACTATATATTACATACTTTTAATTATATAGTTTTTAAAAAGTATTTTTCTCTTGGGGCTGATTTCAAAAGAATATTTTGAAATATTCTTAATATTTTTAATATTAGAATATTAAAAGGTTTTGTTTTGTTTTTGGTCTTTAACCTTTTTCAAGAACTCATAGTTTATGTTATTTGAATGGGTGTGGTACAGGGTAGTTTTGCTTTCTTACTTTGTATATGAGGGAAAAAAGTATATTTTTTAAGGTTAAATGAACAAGATATACTGTTTATAATGAGGCTGTTTAAGTGAGATAAAAATTTTAAATTACAGGAATCAGCATTACATATATTTTTATATTAGATTTGATCCCATGGTATAGAGAAAATCCTTTCTCACAGACAAATTTTAAACAAGAACAGATTATTTTTAAATGGTTCACAGTAACATCTCAGTATTCTTTTTAATTTCATCTGATTCAAAACCTAAAGAAGATTAGTGAGACATTTTGTTTTAGAGTTGAATCTGACAATATCTAACAACTACTCACATTTCCTTTTCATAAATCTCGAAGCCAGACAAGAAGAATCCAAAACTTAGTATTACCATGAGTCATTTGTTACACATTCCATTCACTTATTTATTACATTATCATGGCAGCATGCCTTGGCAGATGTGCCTAGCTCTAGCTAGCATATACTTGAATGTAGCCATGTGTATACTTAAGTGTTGTTCTTGGTAGACTGAAGAGGATCTGAATTATTTAAACATGCTCAGTACATAAATTATTTATTTATTTTTATTATTTTTTAAATCCTCACCTGAGGATATATTTCCATTGATTTTTTTTTTAGATAGAGTGGGAGAGATAGAGAGAGAGCAACATTAGTGTGAGAGAGACACATCAGTTGGTTGCCAGAGATTGAACCCAGAACCGAGATACGTGCTCTTAACTGGGAATTGAACCACGACTCTTTGGTGTGAGGGCCGACACTCTAACCACTGAGCAAAACCAGCCAGGTCAAGAATGTAAAATATTTTATTGCTGACTTGTTTATATTGATTGCAGTATAGTTAGAATGATAATATTTTGGGTATATTGGTTGAATAAAATATATTATTAAAATTAATTTTACTCATTGTCCTCTTTAAATGTGGTTGCTACATTTAACTCAGTTGGTTAGAACATCATCCTCATATGTCAAGGTTGTGGGTTCGATCCTCTGTCAGGGTACATACATTGGTTAATGAATGCATAAATAAGTAGAATAACAAATCGATGTCTTTGTCTCACACTTTGCCCTCTCCTCCCCCCCCAAATAAATAAATAAAATAAATAAATAAATGTGGCTGTTAGAAGATGTTAAATTTGTTTGTGGCTCACCTTATATTTCTTTTAGACAGTTTTGGTCTGGATAGCGTATCCTACATTGACTCATGAAATGTTAATAAGTGCTCAATGAAATATAGTTTGAAAGAGGAGCAGTGTCCAGTAGAACTTTTTGCAATGATATAAATATTCCATGTGTGTGCTGTTCAATATGGTAGCTACTGGCCACTGATGACTGTTGAGTATTTGAAATGTGGCTAGTTCTGAAATTTGAAATATGGAACAAAGCTGAATTTTAAATTTTATTTAAATATATATTTTTTTTTATTGATTTTTTTTTTTGAGAGAGAGTCAGAAACATCTATGTGAGAGAGAAACACAGATCAGCTGCCTCCTGCACTCCCCCCACTGGGGACCCAGCCCGAAACCTGGGCATGTGCCCTGACCAGGAATTGAACTGGGACCTCTCAGTCCATGGGACGACACTCAATCCACTGAGCCACACCAGCTGGGCTAATATTAATGAACTTAAATAGCCACGTATGGGTAGTGCTAATGTATCAGGACAGTACAGATCTAGAAGATTAATTGGATTTTAATATAAGTCTGTACAGTTTGTGTTTACTATGAGTAATAAATGATCAGTAACAATATTTATTGAGTATTTGCCTGTTCTGTAGCAGGTACTGTGTAAGTACCAGAGAAAGGATTTGTATAATAAATTATTTATTGAGACTTTAATGATAATGTTCATATTTTGTAATACGCTTGATGCATTGTGAATTCCAAGATACTGTGTGGGCTTACCATGTTTTCACTGAAGTCTAGTTTCTTTCCTTTTCCTTATGCTGGCCCTTCTGTGAAAGCCTGGCTCCTTTGGAAAAGTCTGAACAGTGTGCTGCTGTGCTTCCTTGTTAAAGGATTTTCTCTTGAAAGGAAACCTGTGCTTTGTAACAGATAGTGATGAGGATGATGATTTTTTTTTTTTTTATCCTCACCCGAGGATGTTTTTCCATTTTTTGTTCAGATAGAGTGAGAGAGAGAGAAACATCGATGTGAAAGGGACACATCCAGTGGCTGCCACCCGCACGACCAACCAGGACTGGGGACAAACTGCAACCAAGGTACGCGCTCTTAGCAGGAACCAAACCCGGATCTCTCTGGACCACAGGCTGATGCTCTAACCACTGAGCAAACCCGTCTCCAGGGCAGATGATGATATTTTTTAGTAAACTTTTGAAGTTGTGCTTTTTGGCTTTAAGGGGATATGTGCACATTTACACAGACTTTTAAGTGTCAGTATTTATTCCCTTTGTATGTGTATAGACATGTATTTATAAGTACTAGTATCAGGCTGTGTTATTAATTTATTTATTATTGCTTCACAGTGAAGAACAGATGTCATCATGTCTGGAATCAAGCGAACAATCAAAGAAACTGACCCTGATTATGAGGATGTATCTGTGGCCCTTCCAAATAAGCGGCATAAAGCAATTGAGAATTCAGGTAGAAATGCACCCATCTTAGGAAATTTTGTGTTTCTTTGTTGGCACATGCCTCCCTGTGAGATTTATGGTAGCTAAAATGAAGTGCATTTCCACTGTTGTATTTTTTAAAGGTCTGTGAGAGGGATTAATAACAAAGTGCTCTGTTTAAGGATAGCAATACACCATGTGTGTGGCATGAAACAGAGGAACAGTCAGTAATGAGACAGACTATCAGTTTCAGCTATCATTGTATATTAGGTATAATCACAAAGTCTTATGTGTAATACAGTGTGGTATCATGTGAGATGATTATAGGTGGTACATGGATTCAGGTTTTTTATATATTATAGTTATATATTATTTTAATGTCTATAGAAAGGATGATGGTCTCATGAGACGTCATTTCATGACTACTGTTGCTAACGATAAGGCTAAAATTACTTTAAAATATTATTTGTTTTAATTAGATCTTTCACATGGTTCTCATATGTGGTAGGTATCTTGAAGGTGGTATATGAATGATGGAAATTTGGGAAACATTGATCTAGTTTACCCCTGCACATAGGGGCTAGTAGTTAAGGCTCAAGAGCATTAAATTACTTGCTCAAGATCATGTAATTAGTTGCTGAGCAGATCAGTTAAATGTCTGTAATTACCCAGAATATTTTAAGCTATCTCAAAAAATAGGAGCTAAATTTGAGTTTTTAAAACAAATTATTACTGAAATTTATTGTTTATTTAAATAATATATCTGTGTAAGTTAATACTTATAGCTGAATAAAGAAGGCATCAAAGTCATAGAAAAGGTATTGCAGCTCCACAAAGATGAGGACCTCTAGAGTTTAAGTAGTAAAGAAAATTCCTCTCTCTGTACTCTGTAAGTACAGTCAAGTCAAATTATACCCCACCCCCAGAAGTCTTTGTGGACCAAAAATTATCAAATCTAATTCAGTAATGCAAATATTTTACTGCAACTCCCTCACCCCCCATTCAGTTGTAATTTTATTTACAAGGAAATGTTTCTTTTCAGGAAACAATCCAAATAAATGTGAAAGAATCATAAAACTCAAATGTGTCACATGGCCTAACTTTTTAAAAATAAAAACAAGAATAGGGAAAACTGAATGTTTCAGTAAACATCATAATTTCAGTTTAAATCTAGTTTAAGTTCCCAAGCACTCAGCCTAAACAGGGACAGTTTTTTGTTATTGAGTCACAATTTTCTATTCTTCCTCTTAGTGTCCATACTCTACCTAATTCCTAGTCATATTTTTATTTTTTCAGAGTAGATTTGGTAGGATGCTTCCTTTGCTTGTATTGTTTTATTTTGTTTTTACTTATTCCATGAAAGAGAGAATTTAGAAGAGTTTCTTCTTGAGGAGCTTATGCTAAAACAGATCATTGTCTTTAGGGAGACTTATTGTCTCTTCTAAGTGTATCAGCTACACTGGTTTTTGTATACAAGATTTGTTTAAAGAAAGATATGTACATTAATTCTAGAAAATATTCTTTACCTCAAATGAGAAAAATCAGTCCTTTGCCTCTATGCATATATAATCTACAAGAATGTTTATACCATTACTAGTTTTAAATAGACAATCTAATGGCATATTTTATAGGGAAAAAGTGACTGGGGTGATCAAAGGGTCCAAATTTTCTCTGTAATTTTTCATATATTCCAAAGAATGGGTGGTGATTTTTTTCATCTTACACAGGATCATGGATCATTTTGTAAAATCCCAGGTTGTTCAAGTAGTAATTTGGCCCTTCTTTTTTTTTTTTTAATTCTCTTGTATCAAGCTACATTTTATATTCTGATAGTTTTAACTCTTTGAGTAGACATCATCTAAATTCTATCAACTACAGATGCATTTTCTTTTCTTTTTAATTCTTTACTCATTTCCTTGGGTAGTTGTGATTAGAAACTGCTGAATTGCTTGCTACATATTTCTCTATAGAAGGAAACTTCCTGCACTCTTATAAACTGCTCTCATGTTACTGCTGTAGCTAACTCTTTGCATTCTTTCTCCTAAGTCACCAAATTTTTTTTCAGAATCATGGTTTTTTTTTTTATTTTTTGGTAATTTTATGTTGATATAATTTCAGACAGGAAAATTGCAAAAAGTACCAGCGTTTTTGTTTTTTTTAATCGAGATTAATTACCAGTTGTTTACATTTTTCCTCCTTTGGTTTATCATTCTTTCTCCCATTCAGGTGCAAGCGCACACAGATATATATGCACATCATTCTTTCTAAATCATTGGGAAAGGACACATGTAAACACTTTTGTGTATTTCTGAGGACATTTCTCGTATGTAACCATAGTATAGTTATCAAAAGCAGAAAATTTTAACATTTATCCATTATATATATTATCTAATCTGTGGTCCCTATTCAAGTTTTACTGGTTACCCCTGTATTGTATTTTATAACTATTTCTCTCTCCAGGATCCAATCCAGGATCACACAATGCATTTAGTTGTCATATTTCTTAAGTCTCTTTTAATCTCCTCAACTTTCTTTGATTTTAGTATTTAAATAGTAATGTTTGAATTATATAGGCCATTTAGTTTGTAGAATATTCTTCAGTTTAGGTTTGTCTGATGTCCCTATGATTAGATTCAGCTTTTTTTTAGTAGGAATGCCAAGAGTGAAGTAGTCTTTTCAATGCCTTATATCAGAAAATACACGAGGTCAGTTTGCCCCAATATTAGCGATGTTAACTTTTTATCATTGGTTAAGATGGTGGCCACTAGGATTCTCCACTTCAGAGTTATTGTCTTCTGGCTTTCTTTTCTGCTTGCTGATTTAAATCACGACAACCACTGAATAACTAGACCATGGATTATTTTATGTTCTTTGTGTAGCTCGAGATGCTGCTGTGCAGAAGATTGAGACTATTATCAAGGAACAATTTTCACTTGAAATGAAGAATAAGGAACATGAAATTGAAGTCATTGACCAGGTATAATGATAAATTAAAAAAAAAAAAAAAGCTATTGAAAAAGTATCTATACATGATGACTTGGAAAAAAAACCTATTGAGATAGAATCATGGTTTGTTTTTCCCCTTTGCTATTTTTCTAAGAAAAGCTTTCTCATTTTTGGAAAAAAGACATGTTTTTCTTGTTGGATTGTTTTTAAGTGAAATTGCGGGAAAAGATAAAGAGAAAAAATTACCTGGAATTTTATCCCAAAAGATAATTCCTCTTTGCTCCTTTTTTTTTTTTTTTGGTATGTGCCCCTGGTGGGACACTCTGGTCCGCAGGCCAGCGATCCAACCGCTGAGCCAAACTGGCCAGGGCTCCTCTTTGCTCTTGTGCTCAAATCTTTGTGGGCATTTCAATGACTACGCATGTGTACACATAAAAATATATATATTAATATATCTGTATACTCTTGCAAAAACATTGGTTTTTGTTACTTTTAGATCCTTGCCAACCTGATCGGTGGAAAATGGTCGTTTTTATTTGTCTTTGATTATTAGAGAGGTTGAACTATTTTTGGTCATTTGCATTTCTTATTTTATGAATTATTTGTATATCTGTCCTGTCATTTCCGTTTTTTAAAGTAATGAGTTGATACTTGTTTTTAGCGACTGATTGAGGCAAGAAGGATGATGGATAAACTTCGTGCCTGCATTGTTGCAAACTACTATGCTTCTGCAGGACTTCTAAAAGTTTCTGAGGTAACTTTTCCTCATATGCAATCATTTCTGGACACCCATATTTGTTGTGTGAAGGGGGAATTAGTGTTGATGTGTACTTCTAGCCTTTGAAACATTTTTTATATTGACCTTTATAATTCAAGAAGCCTAGCTTACTTTCATTGCAATGTACATAAACTTACTGTGTTTAACCATAATCCTTTTTTTTTCTTTCCTTTTTTTGTTAATCCTCACCCAAGAATATTTTTTCCATTGAATTTTAGAGAGGGTAGAGAGTGAGAGAGACATCGATTGTTGCCTCCCACATGCACCCTAACCAGGGCTGGAGATGGAACCTGCAACCCAGGTATGTGCCTTTGATTGGGAATCAAACCCATGACCCTTTGGTTTTCAGGCCAACGCTCTAACCACTGAGGCACACCGGCCAGGGCTCAACCATAATCCTTTCATGGTATTTCTCTACATTGTCAGTAATCCTAAATAACATTTTTTCTTTTTACTTAATCCCTCTCCTACTAATATTTAACAATATTGTTAGGCTTTGCAGATATATACAAAAGTAACTTGCGTTATCTAACCTCTTCATTTGATTATGGTTGGCTTTGGAATAAATTGTAGATTGATTAGTTTTCCTTTGACCTTTTACTGCTAATGAATACAAATTTTTTTTTTGTTTCAGTAGATTTGCCTGTATAAGAAGCCCTGATTTTCCCCTACTTTTTATATTTTTCAAATATTCAGAAAAAGTTAAATAAGCACCTGTTAATACATCACTTAGAACAGTTTTAACATTTTGCCATATTTGCTTTATTTATTTTAGTTTTCTCTAAAACATTTGAAAATAAATTCCAGTCATCATGACACTTCACCCCTAAATATTTAATTACATATTTTCCAAAGGCCATTCTTCTATGTAGTCACAATACCTGAGAGAATGATTCACTAATATTATCTGTTAACCAGTCCATATTCAAATTTTCCCAGTTGTTTCCAATATATTTTTTAAAGCTGTTTGTTGTGTTTTATATTTTTTAAACTATTTTTTTATTATTATTTTTTTTTAGAGAGAAAGGAATGGAGAGAGAGATAGAAACATCAATGTGGGAGAGACACATCAATCAGCCACCTCCTGCATGCCCCACATTGGAGATCGAGCCCACAACTCGGGCATGTGCCCTGACCAGGAATCGAACTGGGGAACTGGGACCTCTCAGTACATGGGACAACACTCTCTCCACTGTGCCATAAGGGCTGGGCTGTTGTTTTTTTTTAAACACGGATCTAATCAAGGTTCATAGCTACATTTAGCTACTTGTTTTTCTAGTTTCTTTCTTTCTTTTTTTTTTTTTAATCCTCACTTGAGGATATTTTTCTGTTTATCTTCAGATAGAGTGGAAGAGAGAGAAAGGAAGGGAGAGAGAAACATTGAAGTGAGAGGGACACATCAACGGGTTGCCTCCCTCATGACCCTGACCAGGGCCTGGGATGAACCACAACTGAGGTACGTGCCCTTGGCAGGAATCGAACCCGCAACTCATGGATCCAAGGGCCAATGTTCTGCCGCTGAGCCAAACTGGCGAGGGCTCTAGTTTTCTTTTTTTTTTTTATATCCTCACTTGAGGACATTTTTACATCCATCTTCAGATAGAGTGGGAGGGAGAGAGGGAGGAAGAGAGAGAGAAACATCTATGTGAGACAGACACATTGAGTGGCTGTCACCCACATGACCCCAACTGGGGCCAGGGACAAACTACAACCGAGGTCCATGCCCTTAATGGGAACCGAACCCAGGACTCTCTGGTCCGCGGGCCGATGCTCTAACTACTGAGCCAAACCGACCAGGGCTCTAGTTTCTTTTTATCTAGACTGTTCTCCCACCTATTTTTCCCCCAGGATATTGACTTACTTGAAGAGACCAGGGCATTTATCTTGTAGAAACTATATCCCACATTTTTAATATATTTTTTCGTTTGGGTTATTCCTTCATTCTCTCTCTTTTTCTATAAACTGAAAGTCGTATCTAAAGATTTGATTAGATTAAGGTTAAATCTTTTTGGCAATAATACTTCATAGGTGATGCTATATACCTCATGTTTCACATCAGGAAACATAACAATCAGGTTGTCCTACTGTTAATCATAACAATGTAATCATTTGGTTACTGTGATTACTACTAGATCGCTGCAGTTATAAAGGATAGGGATAAGATTGAACGGAAACAGAACAGATTGACATTTTGATAATTTTAGCATAACTTTGTTCTTTAAAAAAATTTTTTTTTCTTGAGTTTTTTTTCCAATTAGAATTAGGTAACTCTTCTTTTGGACAGTACTGTCTCTATGAGAATGGGGTTGAGGTATGATAGCATACTGCTTTGCATTGATCCCTGTGGTTTTTACAGATAAGAGGTACCTTTCATATTTAGGTGTTCACGTCATCCCATGGAGCTTTAGGGTAACTGGTATTGGTGATATTTCTGATGTTGTTTCAGAGAAATCTGAAATATTATTTGAGTTTAGTTTTTTGTTGTTGTTAATCCTCACACGAGGATATTTTTCCATTGATTTTTAGAGAGAATAAAAGGGAAAGAGGGAGGGAAGGTGGGGAGTGTGGAGAGAGAGAGGGAGAAAGAAAGAAACAAACAAACATCTATGTGAGAGAAACATTTCGATTATCTGCCTCCCGCATGACCCTGACCAGGGTGGGGGATTGAACCTACAACTCGGGTACATGCCCTTGATTGGGAATCGAACCTGCGACCTTTTGGTCCGAGGGTTGATGCTCTTACCACTGAGCAAAATCAGCCAGGGCATGAGTTTAATTTTAGATGTTAGGTAGTTGTTTCTTCCATTGCAGGAGTTTCCATGAAACATTTGAGTCTGCAGCTCCCATAACGAATTACCACAAGCTTGGTTGGCTTTAAACAACAGGAATTTATTATCATGATTCTGGAGCCCAGCAGTCCAAAATAAAGGTGTTGGTTGGGGCAAGCTCTCCCTAGCCTTCTCCTCGCTTCTAGTGGTTGCTGGTAATCCTTAGTGTTCCTTGGTTTGTAGCTGCATCGCTCTAATTTCTGCCTCTGTCTTCACATAGATGTTTTCCCTCTGTGTATCTTCTCTTTCTATGTTCAAGTTTCCCTCTTAAAAAGAGCACTAGTCATGGATTAGGGCAGGGGTGGAGAACCTCTGGCCCGTGGGCCAAATAAGGCCCGCGAAATCAATACCAGCTAACATCACACGCCTTACCAAAGAGAAGCAGTTCCAGCCATCACATTAGGGGTGAGTTAATTAAATGTTTGACCAATATAGCAGGCTAATTTTTAAGTTGATAATTTTGTATGGCCTTCCAATAATGTTATAAATATCCACATGACCCTTGGCAGAAAAAATTGCCCACCCCTGGATTAGGGCCTACCCTAATCCGAATGACTTCATCTTAACTTGATTACATCTGCAGAGATCTTGTTTCCAAATAAAGCCACATTCACAGGTTTAGGGTGGACATGAATTTTTGGGAGACACTGTTTAACCCAGAACAAATTCTGATGTCATTTGTTATGTGGCTTGCTGTTGGATTCAGCAAGATACATAATGATCCAGTGGTTGCATGACATAGGACTAACTAACTACCTGAAGAGCTGGTTATTCATTTAATGTTTTGTTCTGTTTATTTTTTCTTTCTTTCTTTACTACTAGCCATTTTGAGTTGTGCTATTTTATGGTCTAGAAATACACTGACTTTTATCTTGTTATATTCTGATTAGGACGTATTCAATTATAAGATCTGCCATTTTACCCTGGCCGGTTTTGCTCAGTGGTTAGAGCATTGGCCCGTGTACCAAAGAGTCACGAGTTCGATTCCAGCCAAGGGCATGTACCTCGGCTGCGGTTTGGTCTCTGGCCAGGGTCGTGCGGGAGGCAACCAGTCAATATGTTCCTCTCATGTTGATGTTTCTCTCTCTTTCCCTCTCTTTACCTCTCTCTTCCTCCCTCCCACTCTATCTGAAGATAAATAGAAAAAAATATATATATATCCTCGAGTGAGGATTAAAAAATAAGATCTGCCATTTTATTATTTTTAGTTTGTTTTAACAAAATACATTCATAGTTCCAAAAGATAACTTTATTTTTATTTTTATTCTTTTGTTTTTATTGTTTCTAGAGAGAGAGGAAGGGAGAGAGAGAGAGAGAGAGAAACATCGATGACAGAGAACATCAGTTGGCCTCCTCCTGCATGCCCCCCACTGGGGATTGGGCCAACAACCTGGGCACATGCCCTAACCGGGAATCGAACCAGCAACCTTTTGGTGCATGGGTCAACGCTCAACCACTGAGCCACACCAGCTGGGCCCAAAAGATAACTTTATTAATGAAATTCAACAACTTTGTTGCTTTGACTCTGAAACATTAGTCTCTGGCTCATTTTTCTTTCTAAAACAATTATTTTAATAGCACGATTTTTAAGAGCTGGGCTTCCTAGGAATGTAGCTATAGTGTATCACATTATATAACAGAATACTGTATTTTGTTTGCAAGTAACAAGACACAGAAAAATACTCTGGGTTTCAGTAATGAACTGAGGGCAAACTTTATGTCAGTATTAATCATTTTAAAGCATTCTATACAACATTTGTCTCCTATGTGGGAACCTATGCATTGAACATATGCACATATTTTTTATTTTTATATTTCTTACAGGAAATTTTGTTGTTAATTCTCACCTGAGTATATTTTTCCATTGATTTTTAGAGAGAGTGTAAGGAAGTGGGAGAGGGAAGGGGAAGAGAGAGAGAGAGAAACGTCATTGTGAGAAAGACACATTGATTGGTTGCCTCTCATATGACCCCGACTGGGGCCGGGGATCGAACCTGCAACCCAGGTATGTGCCCATGATCAGAATCGTACTCGCGACCCTTCAGTCCCCAGGCCAACATTCTAACTGCTGAGCCAAACCATCCAGGACTCTTATAGGAATGTTTTATTCACAGCTGTTGTGATGTGAAACACTTTTTTTTTTTAATGTTCAAAACCAACTTTTATTTTACTGTAATTATAAAGGACATTGTATTTAGTCATGGGAAACACTTTTTTTTTTTTTTTTAATTTGAGAGAGAGAAACATCAATTTGTTGTTCCACTTATTTATGCATTCATTGGTTGCTTCCTATATGTGCCCTAACTGGGGATCAAACCTGAAGCCTTGGTGTATTGGGATGATACTCTAACCAACTGAGCCTACCTGGCCAAGGCTGAAACTTATTTTTTTAAATTCAAATTTTTATTCCCATATGTTACTATGTATTTATCTTCAGAGGATTTATATTTCTAGCCTTTAGTGTTAGGACCATAGTTATTTATCACTTTCTTATATTGTTGGTTCAGACCACATCAAGGAGTTTGGACTTCATTTTATGGATGTGGAGAGATTTTAAGCATGATCCTAGAATAGACCACTTTGCCTGCTTTTGATGAATTTGATTAATGTTTGTTTTGATTGCTTTCACTTTTGCAGGGATCAAAGACATGTGATACGATGGTTTTTAATCATCCTGCTATCAAGAAATTTTTGGAATCACCATCTAGGTCATCATCTCCTGCCAATCAGAGATCAGAAACACCATCAGCCAATCATTCTGAAAGTGATTCTTTATCTCAACACAATGACTTCTTATCTGACAAAGACAATAACAGCAATATGGATATAGAGGAAAGACTCTCAAACAACATGGAACAGAGACCAAGTCGAAATACTGGAAGGGTATAGTTGGATGGGTGGGAGGGAGCCAAAAGAGAAGGGAACTATTATTTATTAGAGCATGCACATGTTATTTCATTTAACCTTTATAGGAACTCTGGGAAATAAGTTAATTATATCCCTTTTAGGATTGGGGAAACTGAGTCTCAATGAAATTAAAGTTATATATGTCTACAAGTGTCAGAACTGAGAGCTAAACCTATGTGTTTCTGATTTTAAAATTCAGGACTCCTGTCTGTGACACAACTCCTAGTGCACTCACATAGATCTGAAATAAACCTTGAGGAGTTGGCAGTGCTGTGACTTTCCCCAAGGTCTTTCCACTCTGTCATGTTTATTCTCAAGGGCAGTGATCCTTCAGCATTTTCCTCTGTGGAACTTTATATTCTAACATGCTTTAATAACTGGAGGAAATTTGATGAATAATAAATAGGATTGAAAACCATTTATTGCTCTTTGATCCTACCAATTTGTGGAGTTAACCATCTCAAGCTGCTCTGAACTTCTTGGTATGATACTTGGCTTTAGAAATGAGATCAATGACTTTTCTCAGCTAGATGTTCTGTGATAGAGGACATTTCTAGGGTGTTTTCCACATACTCAGACATCAAGGAGTGGATTTATTTTTGATAAAAATGAAATTAAAAATTTTTTCTGATTATAAATTTATGTATTCATCATTGCTGAAAAATTTAAACTACAGAAAAGTAAAAAAGAATAGAAAAATCATTCATAATGCTACCACTCAAAAATCAGAGCTCTTAATGTTTGGATTTGTCTTTTTTAATATTATTTCTGGGAAAATACTGTATAAATTTTTCTTTTTTAAAAATATATTTTTATTTAGGGAGAAAGAGAGAGAAATATTAATGAGAGAGACACATTGATTAGCTGCCTCCCGCATGCCCCTCCCGCCACTGCGGATTGAGCCCGAAACCTGGGCATGTGCCCTGACCGGGAATCTGAACCAAGACCTCTCAGTCCATGAGACGACGCTCAGTTCATTGAGCCACACTGGCCAGCTATGTTTTTCTTTTATAATTAAAAAGAATTTAGCCCTGGCCGGTTTGGCTCAGCGATTAGAGCGTTGGCCTGCATTCCAGAGAGACCCGGGTTCGGTTGCCGCTAAGGGCACGTACCTTGGTTACAGTTTGTCCCCAGCCCTGGTTGGGTCATGTGGGTGGCAGCCAGTTGATGTGTCCCTTTCATGTCAATGTTTTTCTCTCTCTCTCTTCCTCTCTCTTCCTCCCACTCTGTCTGAATAAAAAATGGAGAAATGTCCTCGGGTGAGGGAAAAAAAAAAGAATTTAGATTGTACTGGTCATTGGATTTAGGAATTTATCATCTTTTTTTGTTTGTTTGTTTGTTTGTTTGTTTTTTTATCCTCACCCGAGGATATTTTTCCATCTTTTGTACAGATAGAGTGGGAGGGAAAGAGAGGAAGGGACAGAGAGAGAGAAACATCGATGTGAAGGGACACATTGAGTGGCTGCTACCCGCACGACCAACCAGGGCCGGGGACAAACTGCAACCGAAGTACGCGCCCTTAGCGGGAACCGAACCCGGGTCTCTCCGGACCGCAGGCCGACGCTCTAACCGCTGAGCCAAACTGGCCAGGGCGGAATTTATCATCTTTTATGTAATCTACATACTTATGTTTATATAACAAATATTTAGTACTTACTATGTTGTAGGTACTTTTCTAAGAACTATACAAAACAAACGTGAGGTAAAACTATTATCCTCCTTTTTTTATAGGTGAGAAAATTGAGACAGGGAAGTTAAATAATTACCCAAGGTGACACACCTAGTAAATGGAAAAACCAGGATTTAAACCCTGGCAGTCTGCCTCCATAGTCAAACTTGAACCATTCTGTTTAAATTACTTCTCATTGAAAGTGTTTTGATAACATAGAGGGTTGAAAAGAAAGTTCTATTGAGCCCTTTCCCCATACCCATTTTCTAGAAGTAACCATTGTAATAGTTTCTTATGTATGCTTCCATATCTTATTTGCATATACGAAGCAGATGTGTCTGCCAATTACACACACACACACATACACACAGGTGAAATTAGTATTGTACAAACATTTTGTCTCAACTAATGCAAAAATTAGAGTAAAATTGTTCTTTTATGCTTTGAGGTGCCACAGTGCCAGAGAATTCTGAGTTATTCCATTCATACCTTGTATGATTTTGCAGTTTCTCCCTATTGAAAATTGTCCAAATTGAAAATGAAAATTATGATTTCTTTCAGGACACTTCTAGTATTATTGGCTCCCATAAAACAGAGCAGCGGAATGCTGATCTTACAGGAGATGAGACTTCACGACTTTTTGTAAAGAAAACAATAGTAGTGGGCAATGTATCCAAGTGAGTATCCAGTTGAATTGTCTCGTTTTCAGTTATTCGTTTATGTTAGTAGAACTCTGGCATATTCTTATCTTAGTATTACAGTAGATGGAGGACTCAGGAATTCTTTTTTTCCAAACTCTTGGTTGTTTTAAAAATAAGTAAGATCCAGAAACTTGAGAACTCTGTGTTAGTGTGTCTGCTAGTCTTTGACATAGAGTAGAATTGTGCTTGATAAAAATAAGACATGAGTTTTTACACAAGTGGTGTATTTCATCAAGCATGTAAGAGTGGATAAGTTTGGAGGAACTTTTGACTTCTTCTGACCTAGTTTTAACCTAGGGGGTTTTAGGTAGTTCCTAAAAATGTTTATTTGTTTGCCCAAATTGAATTGTTTTTAATTTGTAGCTGAAGGTTGCAGAACAGGTCTTGAAGACGATCCTCTAAGTTAAAGGGCTGTCTTCAACAGTGTGATCTCATGCTGTCTTGTGTGAATGTTAATTAAAATTTTTGCCAAGTATCTAGGAATGGATAATACATCATAAATCTTCAATATAATTATTTCCTGTTTTTGTACATTTTCCCCAAATCAGATTGAAATCCCTTTTGGGTGTCTTAATTGTTTTGTAGTTGGTGTGCAGTAAATATTTGCTTGATGAATAAATTAGTGTATTTATGGAAATTGTAATTAGATTCAATTATTAAAATAAAGGATTTGGAATTAAAATAATTATTTGGGTCGGGGGGCTAATGGAGGGGAAATCTTCCAAGCCCCAGTTGATGGACCACTAATAATAAACAAGATGTACATTAAAAATTTCAGGTTACTGCCCTGTCCAGTTTGGTTCGGCGGTTAAAGCATTGGCCCACTGACCAAAGGGTCTCGGGTTAGGTTCCCAGTCAAGGGCACATACCTGGGTTGCAGGTTCGATCCCTGACCCCTGTTGGGGTTGTGTGGGAGGCAACCGATTGATGTTTCTCTCACATTGATGTTTCTCTCCCTCCCTTCCCATTACATCTAAAAAATTCAATAGAAAAATATCCTCAGGTAAGGATTAACAACAACAACAAAAATCTCTGGATACTAAAAACAAAGATTCTTACTGGTTTATGTAATAGTATCTAAATAGAAGCATAAAATATGATTAAGGCTATTAGATTTGTTTTATAGATTATTTTAGAGTTAGCATATATTCATCTAAGCTAAGAGGACTAAATAGTTCATGTGAAGTGTTAGAGTTGGGGTCTTAACTATCGTACAGATTAGACCAGAAAAAACCCAAACTAGAAATCTAGATAGACCCATTAGTCTACAAGAAGATTGGCTAGAAACAGTTATTGACATTTTCAAACAATTATATCTAATTTGTAGATTTGGGATATTTTTTAAAGAGAAGCTAGAACTAAAATATTGATTAATCATGGATTTTAACTAAAGAGGGAATGATTACCATGAAAATTGTAAAGTGTTTTTAAAAATACAGTAATTGTTATATTGAGAGAAAATAACCTAAAATTCAGACGTCTGTTATTTATCAGTGACATCTAAATATTGATTGAGAGTAAGCAAATAGGATCTTGCTCTTGGCATATGCCCTCAGTTTGGCTCAAATGAACTTTTTTTTTTTTTTTATCCTCACCCGAGGACATTTTTCCATTTTTTGTTCAGATAGAGTGGGAGGGAGGGAGAGAGAGAGAAACATTGACGTGAAAGGGACAAAACAAGTGGCTGCCACCTGCACGACCAACCAGGGCCGGGGACAAACTGCAACTGAGGTACGCACCCTTAGCGGGAACTGAACCCGGGTCTCTCTGGACCGCAGGCCGATGCTCTAACCGCTGAACCAAACCGGCCAGGGCGGCTCAAATAAACTTCTATTAAAATTATCAAAAAAAAGCCCAGCCAGTGTGGCTCAGTGGTTGAGCATTGACCCATGTACCAAGAGGTTGCTGGTTCGATTCCTGGTCAGGGTACATGCTCAGATTGTGGTCAATCCCCAGTGGGGGACATGCAGGAGGAGGCCAATTGATGTTTCTATCCCTCCCTCTCCCTTTCTCTCTAAAATCAATAAAGAAAAAATGTTTTTTAATTAAAAAAAAAAAAAGGAAGCAAATAGATGAGTTATAGTCAGCAGATAACTAACCAAAAGAAAACCAGTGTAGCATGTTAGTATCAGGCAAAATAGACTTTAAGACCGAAATCATTCATAGAGGTAAGGACAGTTATTATATAATGATAAAAGGTTCTATTCACCAAGAAGATAAAAAAATTCTAAGCTTCTGTTTACTTGATAAGATAGTCTTAAAGTTTTTTAAATGATAGTGTAATTTTAAAATTGATAGAACCACAATTAGAAATTGCCAAATACACTACCATGCTGAGTACATCTCTCAGTGATTGATAGATCATGCAAACTACATATATGAATATAAAAAATTGGACTATCAATTAACAAAGCTTGATCTAAAGTATACATATGTAAAAAAATAAAGTATACATGTGTAGAACATTACACAAAACAATGAAAAGGGAAACTTTTTTTTTTTTTTATCCTCACCCGAGGACACTTCCATTTTTTGTTCAGATAGAGTGGGAGGGAGAGAGAGGAATAGAGAGAGAGAGAGAAACATCGACGTGAAAGGGACACATCGAGTGGCTGCCACCCGCATGACCAACCAGGGCCGGGGACAAACTGCAACCGAGGTACGCACCCTTAGCGGGAACCAAACCTGGGTCTCTCTGGACCGCAGACCGTCGCTCCAACCGCTGAGCCAAACTGGCCAGGGCGAAAAGAGAAACTTTTTAAGCATACAAGGGACATTTATGAAAATGGGCTATATAGTAAGCCATAAAGTGAGCTTCAACTAAGGACTTGTATCATACAGAATATTTTTTGTGACCACTAGTGCAGTAAACTTAAAAATCAATGACAGTAGGTTAATTAGACAACTTCTATATATCTGGAAATTCAAAACACTTCCAACATCTCATAAGGCCATGAAAAAATCACATTAAAATAATCAAAACTAAATAATAAAATCAAAAGTTGTAGGATAATACTCAAGGGATAAAGGAAAATTTATAGTCTTAAATGACTATAGTAGAAGGAAAGCTTAAAATTAATGAATTAAGTGTCTTAATTAGACAAAAAAATGCAGTGGGGAAAGCAAAGAAATTAGAGGAAAAAAGTAAGCATAGCATATATAAACTTGGTGACATTAAGTAAGGAAAAGAGACAAATATTAGAAATAAAAAGATATAACTACAGATTCTGTACTATTAAAGAGAAGGAGAAATTATGTATATCTTTATGCCAGTGCATTTGAAAATTTAGATGAAATGGAGAATTCATAGAAAAATACAACTTAAAGTGACTCGGCAAAGGAAAACTTTGAACAGTCTTAGAACTACTAAGTAAGTTTATTTCTGTGACAATACCAGACCAAACCACTTGTCTTACATTGCTTTATAGGCTGAATGAACAGATAATTCCATTTGTGTACAAAATCTTCTGGGGGAAAAACAGACAACACTTACCAACTTACATTATGAGGGTATCCTAACTCAGTTAATAAAGCCTGATAAGGGAGTTCATAAGGAAAAGAAAATTATAGGACATTTATTCTTATGAATGTAGATGGAAAAATACTGAACAAAAGCCTTAGCAAACTGAATTCAGTAACTATAGAAGTAATCATGAGCGAGAATTGCAAGTTTGGGTTAACATTAAAATTAAATAAATATAATAAACATATTAACAGATCAAAGAAGATAAACACATGATCACCTCAAAAAATGCATGCAGAAACAACATTTGACAAAACTCAGCATCTATGTGTGATAAATCTTCATGGCAGACTTGGAATTTAATTAACTCAGATAAAGAATATCTTCAGTCCTGGCCAGTTTGGTTCAGTGGTTAGAGCGTCGGCCTGTGGTCCAGAGAGACCCGGGTTCGGTTCCCACCAAGGGCATGTACCTCTGTTGCAGTTTGTCCCCGGCCCTGGTTGGGTTGTGCAGATGGCGACCACTCCATGTGTCCCTTTCACGTCGATGTTTCTCTCTCTCTCTCTCTCTCTCTCTTCCTCTTTCTCCCTTCCACTCTATTTGAACAAAAAACAAAAAAATGTCCTTGGGTGAGGTTTAAAAAAAAAATCTTCAAAAAATCTACAGCCTGTATCATACTCGGTGATAAACTTAAGTCTTCCCATTATGATTAGGAACAAGACAAAGATGCTTAGTGTCACTACTATTGAACATTGCTCTTAGAGATACTAACTAATGTAATCAGATTTTGAAAATTAAAAGTATAGCCTGGCCAGTGTGGCTCAATGGATTGAGCATTGTCCCATGGACTAAGAGGTCCTGGTCAGATTACCAGTCAGGGCACATGCCCAGGTTGCAGGCTGGATCCTCAGTAGGGGGTGTGCAGGAGGCAGCCAGTTGATGTTTCTCTCTCATCAATGTTTCTATTTCTCCCTTCGTCTCTTTCTAAAAAAAAATCAATAAAAACATTTAAAAATAATAATAAATTAAAAGTATATGGATTAGAAAATAAGAAACAAATGTTGTTAACATAATATTGTCAATAGAAAAAAAATCTAAAACAATTTTTGGTAAACTTTTAGAGTTAATGAGAGAACTTAGCAAGGTTGTTGAATATAATATCACACAGAAATCAATTATTTCTGTGTGACAGCCACAAAGTTAGAAAACATGATTTTAAAAGATGTATTTATTAGCCCAGCAAGTATGGCTCAGTGGTTGAGTTTTGACCCATGTACCAAGAGGTTGCTGGTTCAGTTCCCAGTCAGGGTGCATGCCCAGGTTGTGGGCTTGAACCCCAGCAAGGGGGTTGTGCAGGAGGCAGCCAATCGATATTAATGTTTCTCTCTCATCAATGTTTCTCTCCTTCTCCCTCTCTCTAAAATCAATAAAAACATTTAAAAAGAAAGATATATATTATATACACACATATCTATATATATACACACACACACACACATATATTCTATAGCAA